AAGCTCATTGTAGAGCTACCTTTATAATGAATCTTAAATTTGTGAAATTAGATTTTTGATAAGGTCTCTGGGCCAACTTTAATTTAGATTTTGGGTAGGGTTGCCTGAAAGATATTTTGAGTGTAGTTGAGATATCAGTTATTTAAAATGCTTATAAAAAAAAAATTGTACCTAAATACGTCTCTTCAATATTTTTGAATTGTTTTAAAACTACTTATGAGAGATTATGTATTCAAATTTCAAACTTTTTATCCTAGCAGGATTATAGAATATAGATATTTRCTCATCGTCATCCATAGAAATAAAATAAAACAAAATTAGAAAAATGAAAATTTCCATTATTAGCTCAAAAATATTTAAAATATTTTGAAAATTGTATCATGTAATGAAAATAACATGCTGCAGAGTATCGATAATTCAAATCTTAATGGGAATAAAAATAAATTCAACTAATGTATTTTTCAATTTATGTATACCTTAATCAAAACTTATAGTACCTATTACGTCATAAAAAGACAAGAAAAATATTCGAATTATTGATACTCGACCGTTTAAAGTAATATTTGTTGAAAATTCCAAGTATCTACGCTTATTTGTTTTTGTGTTACTTATATCAAAAAAAAAAAATCAATTTCGTTCAAACAAACTTATGTTTTGCACAAAAGAATCCTATTCATCCATGAAAAACAATTGAAATTTTCAATTTCGACTTTTAAAATGTAGACATCTACTAGATACAAATTTTTAGTAGAATTATACCTCGAAGTTTAAAATTGAAGCATTTTTCTCACTCTAAATAACAATTAATAAAACACTTATAATTGTAAAAAAAATAAATGTATGATTCAGCCAAGAATTGATATAATATAATATTATATATATTTATATTATTTGATTTAAAATAATATTTCATTATGCACAGTCCATTATTTTATCAATGTCGTTATATTCCTAAATCCGGATTCAATACGCGAAACGCATAAAGCTTTAGCGATTAAYAAAGCTATCAATTACATATAGGTAATAAAATTGTAATACTATATGAAATCCAAAAATCTACATGATATAATTTCAATAAATTGTATGCGAAATTTAATCTGAATCTACGATGCTAAAATTCGTTTTTTTTGGTTTTTTTTTTTAAAATTATGTATATGTAGTTTAATTTAATGTTATTTGTGCTCTGCAGTGACTCCCTAAACCACCATAAGCTTAGCTTAAAGGTGTGTATAGGTAACTTTTATTATTTTCTTTAATATTCCGTATACGAATCACGCTGTGTAATTCCTCGGATCTTATGTGGCCGACGGAATATATCGAAAATACGACACTCGGCGGTGGTGTACTAATCAWGAGTGACCGAGAAACGGTTTAAGTGCAATCTCTAGTAGTCGCACATATGTATATATATGAATAAAGGACATCGCGTACAATGTAATATAACATTGGCCCCCCGCGGGGCTATTTAGCGCCGACAAAAACGCCGAATGGACTTAAACTTTGGCAGGCGGGGCGGATCGGAGTCGCCACCGAAAGCTCCTCCCCGCGTGTAGCGTTTCCCGCGGTTTTCGTTTAAGTCGCGGCGCGGCGAGTCTGTTCGCCGCGGTCGTCTGTGCAACACTCCACAACAGCTACTGCAGTTGCACTCCCATCACTACAGCCGTCATCGTACTATATAATTCACTCGGACATTTTAAATTATTATAATACAATATTACACCGCGTCATCGACTCCACACCGCAATACACGATGTAATGATATTATACTGACTAAATGTAGGTATATACCTGCATACCAGTAAAATATGTTATATTATTTTATAATTGTATATTGTACTAATGCACAATAAAACAATAATAATAAATATCAATTCGGACGCGCGTGCCAACGGTATAATAGTATTAATAAAAATAATAATAAGTGGCGACGGACGGACGGATCCGTACTATGATTTTTTTTCTCTTTCGCGACGCACTTTCACCGCGCTTGAATTCGCCGACCGAGTTGTTACCGTCGTCGTCGTCGGCGGCAGCTCACTCGCGTGTCACTCGTGGTCCACTCCGTATAGTCGRCATCCGCACACTGCAGTTGCACGCGACTGGCCGCCGGTTGCGCGCGCTCATAATAAAATATATCATTATTATATTATAAATATTACATCCGGATATCATATAATGGACACGCGTCCGTCGCGTCGTTGAATCGTACTAAACGCCATAGYCATACCACTTAATCGTTCGCGATATTGTTGCATAATATTACACCTATATAGATTTTATTTTACGTCTCTTCGCGGTTTTTTGATCTCGAGGCATTTCCCGTTCGTAATCTGTTAGGTCGTGCGAGAAGGGGGTCCGCGCGCTATAGAGGGCGATCGTTTTGTGATAATAATAATATATTGTATTGATATTTGTTTTAGTATTTCCGTTTTCCGTTTCATTTCCGGCGACGATCGCATTGCATACGACCGAGTGTAAATTTTGAACGGACAAAAAAAAAAATTTTAAAATACCTCGTYGGATGTATAATATCCAAACGAAATGACAACGGCCGCCACCTGCAACGCAACCACTGGAACCTACCGGCAGAGGTCTACGTTTGTTCGAAGCAGGTAAAAAAAAAAAAATATTTTATTATTTTTTTATTAAAGCCGCAACAACTAAGGTTATTGGCATATTGTACAATGTAAACATTAAATTAGGTGCTAGATAACATTATGAATAGTAAGTACAATTTAGATTATTTATAAAGGTATA